TGTGTGTGTGTGTGTGTGTGTGTGTGTGTGTTTTAGATTTTCCCCACAACAGCCCCAATTCCACCGAGGTGAATAGATTCAGAATCAAAGCAGTCTTTGTCCTATTGCAAACAAAGAGAGCATTTGAGATGTCCAACATATTAAAGCAATTTTATAATTAGACAGTTTTTTGGTTGTCCTTGGGGTACCCCTTTCATTGTTCTTGCTGCTCCCCTTTTGCTGTGCCTCTTACGTACAAGGCTGCCCACGTTGATTGTGGTTGAGCGGCAGCTGCCCACATCCCGTGTGCCTTCACGGCCCACTTGCATGTTATTTCAGGAGGCAGAGTAAAAGGGAAGGTATGCTCCTGTGCATCTCTTCAGAGCTTCATACTCCTGTTCATTTCACTTCAGATCTTCAGCTTATACAGTCTTTGTGTCCGTCCTTCATCTTCATACTTCCGTTCATTTCATTTATGATCTTCATATCGTCTATACTCTTAATGATGCTCGTACGTATGTATTTGTTAGTAGTACAAAGGGAGTGGAGGGGAGGGTGGAGGGTAAGGGGTAGAAGGCGGAGTTCTCTAGGAGTATGGGGCAGGGGAGGTAGGGGCAACGGGAAGGAAAGAAATATGTGGAGGGCAGGATGGAGTGTGACATGCAAAGAGCAGGTGTGTGTGTGTGTGTCCATGTATGTGTCTGCGTATATATCTATATATATAGAGAGAGAGAGAGAGACAGAGGAAAGGAAGAATAATGCTGGAACAATTGTGTGAGCGCGGCATAGCGTGTGGAACAGAGTAACCTTGCAATCCTAGCAGACTGCCAGTCCAAATCCCTGACAAGAACGGTAGTAAGTCTGAGAAACTAATCTGACACAGTCATAAAACCCACTCTGTGTGTGTGTGTGTGTGTGTGCGTGTGTGCGTGTGTGTGTGTGTGTGTGTGTTGTCATATTCGCTATACACTCAAAAAAAGCATGGCTGTACCAGACTGATTCGTTGGACTTTCACCGACTCATCAGGAGGTTGAACCCCGACAGTCCGCCCAGGATGCATTTGACTGATGGATAAGGACTCGCCACATTGCCCAGAGTTGGCGATACCCCTGAGAAAAGTGGTCGACTTTAAAACCTTGCAATCCTAGCAGACTGCCGGTCCAAACCCCTGACAAGAACGGTAGTGTGCGTGTGTGTGGGTGTGTGCATATATATATTGTCACATAACTACAAACTAAAAGAGCGCACTTTGCGGAACAAAGAATAAAAACAAAAAACGGGGACAGTGATAACTTGCAAAAATAAAAAGAAAAAGAAAAAGAAAAAGAAAAAACAAGGGCAGATTGAAACCATTAAATTTCTCATTCTTCTTTGAACTCAACCTCCACTGTGCCTCTCACGTGCAAGGCTCGCCACGTTGATGAAGTTGAGCGCGAGCTGCCCCAATCCCCGTATGCCATAACAGCCCACTTGCACGCTGTGAGAAAGGCAGAGTGAAGGGGAAGGTGTTAAACACAGGAAAAAGCTCAAGAATGAGGCTGTCCTTGACGACAGAAAGGACACACATTGTAAGGATGGGGT